CGACCATAGGTATCAGGTGTGCGTCGGCAGGGATTCGAACTTCGGACCATGTTCATTGTCGGCGAGAGTTTTAACCACTGTGCCACCGAAGCAGTGGCACAGTAATTCTATTGAAGAAGCTGCGGCTTACACAGTGAAACTTCCACGAAAATCTTATTTTGGTTTCCTAAACACACTGAGATTATTATAATTCATTTTTATATGATTCAATTAAAACCGGTGCTCATATTATTCCAGGGGATTCTCAGCATCTAAGATCTGCATATAGATCACGGTGGCCTGCTTAAGCTACTAGGCTGCCAGAACTTTCATTCATCGAAATGCTTCATACATTCTTCATTTCTGGGTGTTTTTATCATGCAGTTATATCAAATAATCACTACATGGACTCATGCACATACGTAATCAACTTTCAATAAAACACTGTGCAGTCTTTTTGGAGGGGATGGAGAAAAAAATGAATGATTTGGTTCTCTTTCCATATGTGACAGCACTAAGTCATATTGTGGTGAGAGCAGCCTGCTAGCCGATTAGTTGACATTAATCTACTTCAATGTCTAGGTCACTAATATGGGCCGTGAGAAAATATGAACAAGGCTGTTCAACAACCAATCACAGCAAACTTAAACGTGGGCAAATATGATTCGCGGATAGATGGCTCCACTTTCCGAGGAACTCGAAAACAACAAATCAAGAGGCCGCGTTTTTCTACTTGACTAGGCTACAATAATGTATGTGAAATTTATATAAATACGTGTTGATTTCCGTAATAAAACGATCTGTTACCTGGCCCTTGTCTTCTGTTGTTACAATATGACATACTCCAGATTCTTACTTTACATGTAAACGCCGTATGAAGAGGAAATATTTTATGACTAAATACACTGAAAATTTCTGTACTTTGTTGTGAAATGTTGTCTTAAATGATGCTCTTTTATTATTACTATTAATATTTCTGAATTGTCTAAAATTTCAAACCTCATTTCTCTACGGATGTGTTTACTACGTCTAAAATTCTGAAAGTTCAAATTCGTCCTTTTAGTCTTCAAATTATGTATTTACGAATGTAGAGATACAAAAGAAGTTTACCAAAAGATATTTTATCTATCCTAGTCAACTTTTTATTTCATCTATTGCATAAAACCTAAAAATGACATAGCATAAATGGGTGGATGGTTCAACCATAAGGAAGGTTCAACCTCTATTCTCATCCAATGCACTCGTAAATCTCGCCTAGTCTACTAGTCGACAGCAAGCCTGGAAAAGAAGAAAGGTTAAAGATGAAGATAACAAGCCCACCCAGTGGAAACGAAACACAACTGCTACTCAGACTTTAAAGACTATAGCTTGGAATACAAAGAAAGAAAGAAAAATAAGCACTACGGATCTAGTGAATCAAATATTTTGAATATTTAGTAGATTACTTTAGGTAAGGCGGTTTTCATCCGTTGGCACGTGAAAGATAAATATTTTTAATACCGGCTTAGCAACATACTGTTATGTTAGAATATACTTCATTCGTCTTAATTTCATTTGAACTTGTGACTGTGTATTCGGTATATAAATAACTGAATATGGGGACTATTTCCCTAAGCTATTTCTAATATATTACATCCTATCTTGGTACTGGCATCAGTGGTTCAGCGGTAGAACGCTCGCCAACCCCGCATGTGATATGAGATTAGATCTCCGGCTGACATTCTCCTAAACCTCGCTAATCCAGTAGTAAGGCAGGTAAAGAGGGAAGGTGGGGCGTGAAACCAGCGACTCCACTCCTTAAAAATGACACTACTGCTACGAAATCTCAAAGGTGAACCTTGAAGCCCTTTGTTCCACTGGGCGAAAAGTAATGTAGTTAGATAGAAAGAGAGTTTATTCACTGAATATTTATTCATTGGACCAACAACAACAGATAAGACAGAAATGATGCAACTCCACTCCCATATATGTGGGAAGGTGGGTTAAAAACAGAAGGAAATGAGGCTGTCTAAGGGAGGTAAGATAGGCATATGAATACACTGATATGACTTAAAGCCATAAACTGTATTTAAATCATCATATGGTTGTCAATACTACATCATCTATTCAGTTGCTCAACTTCCAAACGCTGAGCCACGCGTTCAAATCCCACTCTCTCTCTCTCTCTCTAAATAGATTCAAGCGGCTAAATAGCATCACCGGCCTTCAAAGAATTTATATGTGTGGCTCATCGCCTACTGCATGCAAATGCAAATTGTTGACGAGTAATGTTGTACCTACATCACATTACTATGTGTTTTATCAGATAAACGGATCTAATATGAAATTATGTTGTAACGTGGTGATCACATTCTACTCTTACTTTCATGCTGCCTACAGAAACTATTACTAAGTTTAATCAGATGCAAAAAAGGCATACAGAAAGCAAACTATTATGAATAAGCAAGCTGATAAAAATTAACACCATCTAAACAAGTAATCCCAGTAAAAAAAAACTAAACACCGAAAGTTTTTTTAAGTGCTACACAGTGATAAATGTTGTTGTTTTCTATGTGTAGACCGCCAAAATCTTTTTATGCGATACTATTTTTATACAAAAGGATGCAAGCGAATTTTCCCAGATGACTCAAGCCTATTATTTGCATCCATATTTAGTTGTCGCATATACACAATTCTACTTATTCATGGCCTTTTAGGTATTTAAAAGTGCACAAAAACTTCCATATTCGAATACATGGTGATGACTCTTTCTTCACTATCTGAGAATTAAGCTTGTTTTGCTTTAATGTTAAAATTTATTACACATTAAAACTAAAAAATATGTATTAAAAGAAGCTTCTAAGCGTATAGTCTATAATAGAACCTATTTCTTAATTGAAATTACATTTATGTAAATTTCTAAATCCATTATAATATTTATATTCTTTTCTAATCTGAGTGGTAATTTATTCTGTTGTAGTGAAATAATTCATGAAATCGAAGTTATTAAAAGAAGAACTATGAAATTATTCAGTGTAGACTAAATTGTATTATTTATGCGTACTTGTCGAGGTAAACTCAATGAGTTATATCGGTCTTACAAGTAAGGTGGTTTGACTCACTGACTAACTGAGTGAGTTTCAACATACGACTTTACACAGAAGTCCAGCGCTACAAATCCCTACAATCCATGTAGCACGCAAAAACAGAGGAAAAACAAAAATTCATAAAAACTGTAATGAGCAGAAGAATGCAAAGATGGAAAACATTACGGCTGAATGGATAGGAGAGACCACCATCGAAAATGATTTTGAGTAACATCTCGAATAGACTCTAATCATTTGTTTCTTAGCATCTCGAAGACCCCAACCAGGCAGTCTACCAAACCAGGCCCAAACCAACTATCAAAGAATTCATGGACTGTTGTCATGTTTTGGTTTGACTATCCCTAACTTTTCTTCAGCCTGATGCTATGTCAGCTAAAACTGATAGGCGAGGTAGTTGGTAAACACTACTGCTTTTTCATGCAGGTAGTCTGTATGTGTTTTAGTGCGTAAAAGAGTCTTTAACTGATCCTTTTATTAGTTTATTGAAACCATAAACAGCAGCTATTAAGAACGTTTAAAATGATAATCATAAAGAAGATTTAACTTAGTTCATTTGAAAATCATTGTGCATGCTCATTAAGCTATAGTCAATGTTAGAATTTCAGATAAGTCTATCAAATGTTTCTGTTTCATGAGTTAAAAATGAGACTACAGGGTGTCTATGAAATACTTCTCCTAGTTGCTTGGTTCATGTCTATGGTTGTCTTTTTAGATGGTGCCTGCATCCCCAAAGAATGACGGTGTTCCCACTGAAACACGATGAGATGACGTATTGATTAAAACATCAAGGACATTACCTATTGAGTTGATGAATCACAAAAGTCACCTCTTGTGCAAAAGATATGAAAGGATTTATTCCTCAGTTTCTGTACAATCGGTAGTGTGACATAAGTAGAATTTCGGAAAGGATTTTTTCACTCCAACAAACTAAAATTAAACTATTCATTAGTATTACAAGGGAAGTCATCCTACGATAATATAAAGAATATTTCTGAAGTTATCGCTGAACTATTGCTGCTCACAAGGTATTTCAGTAACTTCATTCTGTACTATGTAGACACAAAGATTCAATAGTGAGAAAATACAAAACTGACACCATTGCGTCACCTCAAGAAAACATTGTGTTGGGCAACAAGAGATAATACCTCGTCTTTGCATCCCAGAACTCAAGCTAGTAGTAAAAAGACATGATATCAATTCCCTTATATAAATGCGCGTGGATAACCATGGGGATCAGCTCAACCAGTAAAATGTAAAGGAAATTCGAAGAATGACAGAAGATTCCCAGAAGCCTAGTACTGAGATCCGTTCGCAATATACAGACATATGGATACTGATCAAAATTATCCGTCTGTAAAGAAAAAACTGCACAACTAGAAGGTTAAATATTAGGTCAACGAGCCTCTCAAATGAATTTCATGATCTCCAGAGACAACTGGTCGTATAAACAGTTACTGAAAAGACAATCATTTCATTCATGGCGAACCCTTAAAGCTCACTTCCTTAAAAAGTTACCGCTGAAGATGTTGTCTAGAAGGACGATAAATGCTTCCGCGCAACAACAACACTGAAAGTATCTGTCTAAGCTAAAAGTTCCCACCCTTATTTCTGCCTATTAACAATACATCCAAATTAACTTAAATGTTACCTATTTAGTAGAAATTTGGTTAACTGTATAGTTTCATCCTAGTTAGCATGTTACATACATTGGCCTTCGGCTGATGATGATGATGATTTTCGTAAAAGCGAAATTCAAAATAATAACCAACAAATCATGAGCACTGTTCATTAGATTACTCAGTCTTCTCCTTTCTGTTCTATGCAAATGTTAATTCACTACTACATTAATTCATTCCAGTTACAATTAAGAGAGAGAGCAAAATAATTTCTAAGTTTAAAATCATTGAATTAAATGCATTTCTGCTTAGAACTTACCGGTGGGCATCTACTGGACACTGGTAATGAATGAACTGGTAAACTCCTAGCATACCTTCGATTAAGCGTTTGATAATAATCCAGTGAAGTTGACAATGGTGAATGTAATACGATTGCTGGTGTTATTGGTGTTGTTATCGGCATCACTGGATGTTTATGTTTTGAAGAAAATGAATTACCTAGTGAATGCTTTATGCGTGGAATATTTACATTCGATATAGACATAAGAGGGATAGTTGAATTACAGAATAATAATGACAATATAAGTAATAGGTTAGAAGGTGATAGCAGTAATATAAGGTGTTGATGGAATCTTAAGCTTAATGAGGTACAATACATGTTAATGAATGAATTCATTATTCATTTACTTACATATGTACATCTGAAGGAAAACAAAGATATTTGCAACTTATTGAGATAGGGTAGTTTTGCAGAAAAGATAATACAGCATCAGACTTAGTGATTGCATAATGTTTTTCACCACATAGATATGAGTGAAAAAATGAACGAAGAGTGTTTTGGTAGAAAGCAATTTTTTCTAGTACATAAAGTTAGATTTGTAAGAATTGCCTAGATGCATGTATAAAAAAGTACCACAACTTTCACATACGGTCACAGATACACGTATACAGTAAATACTACTATTATCATAGACAGTATTATAGAGATATCTCCTTTGAAGTTAACTCTCAAAGAAAGTGAAAATCTAAGTTTCGGTTTGAAAATGCAAATTGTTTTCCTGTCTGTCCTGTTCAAATTTGACAATCTTATTGGAGATTATTAGAAAAGAAGATTAAGAAACCTTTTTCTATGGTTGGCATATTTATAGGTAGAAATTATAAATATATATGTGCACAAACGCGTGCATACACACATACTCACATACATTAATGCATATAAACACCTTTAACTACATACCCACATACATACACACATGCATACACTAGAAAAAGCTTTGTGTTGAGATTGTTGACGTTGTTGTGACCAATTACGCCTCAGCTTGTTGGGTGGTCCTCGGTTTAGCAGTCTACACCATCTGTTGACTACCTATTGTAATTTAATATACACACTGGAATACTTTGTTTATTTCTTCCCCTATGATGTGACAATTATTTGTTTGCTGAAAAATAAACGATGATTATATGGACAAAATATTTTTTTTTTAAATTGTGGGCAAATAAAGTAAGAACAAAGGCCAGTGTTTTATTCGGCCAATGAATACTACTTTTGACGTATGAATTGACCTTATTTATATGTGTGAAAGGTTGTTATGTATCCACATGTGTTTTTGTTTCTGGTATCTATCTATTTATTTATGTCTTTTAGATTGTGGTTTGTTTATAAACTACCTCTTAACCCATGCGTCTGGGTATACTAATTTTCGGTAAGTTTACCTGACTTGACCGCACTAAAAATATAAGACAATAACCGCACTGTTTAGCCGATTATTTTTCAATTGTCTGCCGGTAGGTCACACCGACAATAAATATAAACTGTTACTATGGTAATAAAACGTTCAAAGTGATGTTACCGAATGCTGTGATAAAATGTCAATAAAAAAAAACGCCTAATCTGTGTGGAATACTGAGTTTTGTCAATCCCAAAAATGTAACCACAGCAATTCATTTACCAGTACAAAACAGTTAACAAGATACCCATCTTTATACAACTCCATTTTAAAGATGAGAGCAGTCGTCAGAAGATCGAAGATGCTACCAGTCAGAAGCTGTCCTACTGCTAAGTTCAGCCTCTTCTATTACATAATATTCTGTTTTGTCAAATGTTGATTGCTGCTTTGTATACGAATCCACATGTGTAATAATAATGACTTTATTCTGAAAAATGCTTTAATGTATATTGCAAAATTCTCAGAATATTCTATTGCAAAGTATTTACCCTACGTCTGGAACCTTCAAAAAAACTTAACAATATATCATGTGCAAGAATATCGTGCTATCCAAAGCACGCTGTAATAACCTTCTATGCTTTCTCTCCCTATTAACCAAAGCAGTAGGTTTTATCGTATTTGAAAAGAGACGTGAGTACAAATTGCGATTCAGAGACATAATTAGATAATTGAAACCTAATGAAATAGGATAAACAAGATAAATTTTGATCAGTGGGGAATTAGGTAGCCAATAGTTCAAGCAGCCCGGCAGGTTTCTAACCCAGCAATTATACCAGGATGACAGGAAGAAAGATAAAATTTAAAGCTTTCTGAAAATGTATTAAAATTCTACACTTAAGGAGGACAAATAGTTTTAACTGTGTAATTAGCAGGTAACTTGTTGATGCAGCATGTGAAGTAGACGTGTTGAAGTCCTTAACAAACAAAATAATTTAAATGTTCTGCGATTCGCTGAGGCTGTAGTTACCGCCTTTACGTATTCAGACAGAAGTGGTTACTTTTTGAAAAAAAATCCCCATTAGAAATCTCAAATACTGAATACTGAACAAATAACATTTTTTTTCAATAACTTCTTCATCAGGTTCTACAGGCGATCCTTCTGAAACATCTGTGGTCTGTGTGCAGAAGAAACGGGTCCAACCACTACTACTGCCCTGGCCTTCTGTTGAGACTTCTCTACTCTTTCTTACGTAACTCCTACTGAATTAATTCGAACTTTCTCTTCGTGTGTACGAAAATTGTCCCAAAGATCCAAGAAAGAAATAATGTTTGAAAGTTAGTTCCACTTAATTTTGCATTCTGTTGTGACAGCAATAATTTATAAATCCTTTAAATATAACCGAACCACAGCATAAATGCACAAATCACTTATTTTAAGGAGCAAGTGTGAAACAGCAATTCGCCATCGGACATCACAGGACGCCATATTGCTTTAGCCTTACCACATATCTGTTAGGTAACTTTGAATTAAATCACAAATTTGGAAAATGAATTGAGGCTTATCGTTAATTTTATACATTATAAGCTGTAAACCTCACATATGTGGTGAATTGCTACATATCGTAAGCACTACATACATGGGCAGGTTATATAAAAAGGAGGAATTTCATGTGTACTGCGGTCAGACAAGTGGAATTTATAAAACCAACCATCGTACAACAATGGGTTGTCTGAGAATAGAGAACGTGTATTCTAATTTCCCCTAACTGTGTTACTGCTACATTTCAATAAAACAGTAATTTGTTAGACTGAAAAAATTTCTTACAGTTTAAACATATTCTATGCACATATTGCTTTGCTAATTAAGTCTAGCTTCAGTTGAGATATTGTAGTCACCAACAGAAGAGGATCCAGTAAGCAAAATATGCGTTTGTCTTGTTTAAAAGCCTTGAAAACCTGTTGCATGATAACTTCATGATTTTAAATGTACGTATTATTTGATTTTCATGTTAAGTGGGAATAAAAGTAGCTTATATGATAGATGCTTTAATTCAGCCAACTTAGAAACTATATATTTTTTTATACAGTTTCTAAAGCATACATCAAATGCATGTGTTTGTTATTGGCATGGAATACACACTTCACTCAAGTAATGTGAATATACCCACAATCTATTCAGAACCAAAATAATTAGAGCGAACAGTTGTTTTCAATAAAATCTTCTCCAGGTTATCCAATTAATTGCAAATTCATTAATTTTAGTGTACAATATCAAATTAGAATTATATCAGAAAGTGCATTGTGATGGAAGTACAGATGGAATAACAGTCCGTTGGTTTCGATCATTATTTGAATTCTCATTACATATCGAGTCATCTAAGTGGGGGTGGCACAGCGGTTAGGACGCTCGCCAACCATGCATATGGTCCGGGGTTCGATCCGCGGCCGACAAACTCCTTTACCTCACTAAGCCAGAAATAATGCTGGTAAAGAGGAAAGGTTGGGCATGAGGCTAGCAACACCATCCTGTAAAAATTAAACACTGCTACAGAAACTTCAAGACACTAGTTTGAGGTCCTATGTTCCACTGGGAACGTGAAGGAAAAAAATCCGTCAGTGGTTCAAAGATAGAATGCTTGCCAACCACGCATGTAGTTCAGGGTTCAATCCTCGGACGACACATTCCTAAACCTTGTTAATGTGGTAGTAAGCCTGATAATAATAATAACAGCAATAATAATAATAATTATTATTATTTGTTTTATTCCAAAACAGTACTTGTGATATAGAATGGAATTCTCAGCTTATCACTATAGTATTGCATCCAGTTTGTACATCAACAATAAATAAAATTCTGCATACATTATGGGTAATCTCAGTTCGTTTTGACAACACCATATTAGCATATAGGTAGCAAAGCCAAAAGCGAAAAGAATGTTTAAAGGTGTTAGAAAAGTAGATGCTAGCATATTTACTGGCGTAAGCGGTAACAAAAAGGTCAAGATATACAGAGCGTGAAACAACGAAGAAGAATTTTATAAATAGAGTTTGTAAGGAAAAGAGAAACAAAGCACCACATAACAGAAAAAAGAGAAAAGGAAAGGAAAGAAAGAAAACGTTGTACCAATAAATGATGTGAGTTGGAAAGACGAGATCCAGTTGTTCTACTGACTATTTAATAAGTTATAAATTTCACGCCCAATGCTTTCTTTATCGTAAAGAACACGAGCTAAGTAGGGTATAGTTGAGTCTTTGTACTTGCTAGTGAGAGCATATAGTTTTCTATATAGGCTTCTGGGTGTGCCTGATGAGATACAAGTGGCGAGTTGTGGATGAAGAGGTTGGCGTGAGTTAGATAAAATGGATTTAGCCCATTTTTCACATTAGTCCAAGTGCCTGTCAACCAGAATATTAACAAGCTGGTTAAGTGGCACGTTGCTTACCCTTCTGACAACCTTTAACATCCTGCGTAACAAGGTATAGTCTTTCTTCAGTAGCCCTGGAAAAACTAAGTGGGAACAATAGGGAATTATAGACAGGATGCAAGAGTTAACGAATTGTAAGAGTAAGGGTTGGGTTATTCCAGAATGTTTTAACTTCTTGATGTCGAAGGTAAGACGGAATATTTTCTTAGAAATCATCAAGATATGAGACGAATAGGAAAGATCAGCAGATAGAATGACGCCTAGGTATTTAATTTCAGACTTGGTTTCTATTTCAGTCTCACCTACCTTGCATACTACATGACTGCTAACCAGTTTGTTTAGATAAGATTTATGCCTAAAGGTGAAATAGACTGTTTGACATTTAGAGGGATTTAAGGTAAGATAGTTTTCCTTGGATCACTGGCTGATTTCTGATAAAAAGCCATCTAGTTTGGGGCAGTCATCTTTACACTTGACAGGTAAAGATACAGTCAGATCGGCATGAGACTAACCCCTGCACTTTGTAAAAATAAAACCACTGCTACTGAAATTTCAAAGCTGAATGTTGAAGCCCTATGTCACACTGGGAACGTAAAGAAATAAAATTTTCAAAACGTCTAGTCAATAAGAACATCAGATTAAATGAATTTAAGTAGTTCAGTATATTTATATTCGATAAAAAATAATACTCATGTCAGATAAGCACCTAAACGACTGAGATTCTGTTCCTGGCTGATGCACGCCTAAGCCTTACTTTAAACCAACTGTAGCGGAAGCGGTAGGATATACTTCTTTAGGATACTGAGATGAAGTCTTCGCGTATTGTTTTCTGCCGCTTTTTATGCTTTACTTAAGGTAATGGAATAATGAGTGAATTAGAGAAAGCTAACTAGATAGGTAAGGTGAGAAGAAATGATGACGCTTTACTTCGATATCAGGCTTATATAAATTCATACCTTTTAGATAAATAATACCTTATAGTACAAGCTTCATAGCACTGTGACCATGTAATTGTGTTCAGGTGTGTGTA